GTTGTTACACCATTTTGAGGTGTAAGATGTAAGACACTCATTGTCCCTGTTCAAACTTCACCTGACCCGACATCCAGCCACTCCATGTCTGTGCAATTTGTGAAACATGATTTTAGCAGATTTTGACTAGATGGACTATCTTGTACATGATGACTTTCTAAAATTTTGAAGAGTAAAAATGCTCAATATGCTCAAAATCAACATGTTCACACTATTAACTGTTATACTCAGTCAGGAGACTATTTTGTTCACAAGACACAAAAATATTGTGAATGAAATTGCAGATATTCTAGTTTGAAAACTTCTACAGTGATTCATAAAATGATCCAAAGTGAGAAACACTCTAGCTGTTACTTTGATAATCATTTGAGTCGTGTCTACTTTACAGCTTATCTGCTGCTAACTTGCTGGCTGGAGTTTAAGACAGCTGACTTCTTCATGTCAGTACAAAAAACAGACAAAAAAACACTGTTTTGATAAATGTACAGTGTTTGTTTCACGATTCAACCGCTTATGAAATGTTTTTCTTTTTTGTTTAATCCTGTCCTAGCCAATATTATTCACATGAGTGCATGTTACATAGTAATAACAGAAATGACAGGCGGGAAGGGATAGAAGTGCAAAGAGAAGAAAAATAGTCAGAAAAAAAAAAGAAAAGGGGGGAGAAAATAGGAGGAAAGATAAGAGGAAATAAGAAGAACACAATGTGTCCCCAACTGCTGCACTTGTAAGAATATACATTAAAAAAGCCATACAAACAAAACAAAAAAAATTGATACACAAACCAACAATGATCCTGTGGTGTGTGCTTTTGTCTAAAAAAAATCTACTTGATAATGAGGCTGAGAATCTGCAACAATGCCCCAAGGTTTGTGGTCAGGTCCAGAGATGGGCAGTAACGCGTTACTGTAAACTGATTACTTTTTTAAAGTAACGAGTAAAGTAAGGTATTACTCGAAAAAACGGTAATTAGATTACCGTTACTTTCCTGTAGGAACACTGCGTTACTGCGTTACTAAAACTGATTTTTTTGTGAGAATGTCTCATGACAGTGACGTAGTGCGACGTTCGTGACAACAGCTGTGTGCAGATCAACAATGGATAATATATTGAGTACGGGAGAGAGTATGAGCGTGCAGCGTTTAAAGCGTGGAAGTACTGACCTTACTTTGAGTTTGATTCCATAAAAAGTGACAAAAACATTAGCGTCCGTTGTGCGTGGGAAGAAAACCTCTTTTTACAGCGAAAGAAAACCCCTAAACAAGCACTGAGTGCGCAACGACGTAATGGGAAATTCACAGAGAAACTCGCGGATTCTTTAACTGACCGCTGCGGCACACCTGCACCAGGGCAAACCTCCGCCTACCCCACTCCTGCTTTACAGGTGAAAATAGAGCAAAAGGATCGCTAGTCTTTGACTTTATTTATTTTCTGCTGTGTTTTACTTGCATCTATTTAAAAGAGTGAGTGTAAACACAAAAAATATTTTATTTTATGTGCTGGAATGTGCAGAAAATAGGTTTAAATGTTAAACTAATTTCTTTAAGTCAGAGAATGGTGCATATAATTTAATTTTTACTTGATGCATAAAGCTAAAAGATTAAAACTGATAAAACAAGTTTTAAAAAAGGAGACTTTTCCATTTGATTACATTTTGTATGATGGATTATGCAGAAAAAGTAGAATTGGGCTGAAAGATCTATCGTTTTATCACCTATTCAGGTTGTAAATCGTGTTTTTAAAAAGTAACTAAGTAACTAAGTAATTAATTACTTTTGAAAATAAGTAATCAGTAAAGTAACAGGATTTTGGGGAAGTAATAAGTAATTAGTTACTGATTACTTTTTTCAAGTAACTTGACCAACACTGGTCAGGTCACCCCAGACCACAAACTCCAAGATAGCAGGTCAGCAGCCATGCCAAAATATTTGCCCAAACATCCTGGAACCAGCAGTTATCAACCTCCCACCAGAGGGACCAATGGAGCGATAGGAAGAGGCAACCTCCAGGCTCCACGACAAGGGCGTAGATTTGGCATGGACGGAAGGGACATGTCCCCACCAATATTCAGCGATTATTGAATTGTCCCCACCAATAATTTGATCTATTGGAGTAAAGAAAATCAAACCCGATAGAAAGAGAAAAAAAACGATCTGTCAACGTCTCCTTTACCCAGCGGTGCAGAAAGAGTTAAATTACGTTCTACTGGAGTCCTACCTCATGTGACAAATATGGCCAATGTGATTGGTTCACATTGGCTCTGTTTAGTTTTAGCAGCTGCAAGCCTGCGCTGCGAGGAGGAGAGGAGGATGGCAGCAAAAAGGAAGAACCTGGATATAAGTATTTTTCAAAGAAACCTGCAAGTCACTTAAAGCCAAATTAACTCATAAAATGTGGCCCACATCAGTCTAAAATTGTATGTAACCACGAATAACGTGTTTTGGAAACTAACTGCACAACAGGCAGCACTATTAGTTCTCAGTCTCCCAGAGTAACATTTCTAAATTTGATTGAAACTGTCAGAGAAAACGGCAGCTTTGAGCAGGCCAGGATATTAGTTTACAGAGGCTGTTAAAATTATATGTCTAACATTAAAATGTTGGTGACACAATAATTTCATCCTAATGGTACTGACATATTCATAGGGTTAATTTTTGAGACAAAATGTCATGAGGTAGTCATGATTTTGCAAATATCCACCTTGTAGTGCAGTTTGCACAAATTGATTTAAAAATGCACTCACCCTACAAACATTACTGATGAGTTAAGATCTGCACAAATTGACAGAAACACTGAAGCAGCTCCACATTTTATTCTTATTGTCATGTATGTCCTATTTGTCAGGTGATAGAAGAACCAACACAAAGCTCAGAGAGTAATGGTGATACTAGATCACAGGTGAAATTGGATGATGACTTGTTGGTTCATTACTGTATTTGAAGCACATGTGTGACTGCATGTATGTGGAAGGTCTCACTGTTATTCATCAGGTGACAGAGGCAGCTCTGCTATGTTGTAGCTCAGACAGATGTGAGGTCACAGGTGACTGACTGATGATTTGGTGCTGTAGATTAAATAGTATTTATTATTATGACAATTGTTAGACTGCTGATGTAAATTGTTTCATTAGTGTATATTTGACAAAGAATCTAAATTGACATGTCTCACTTTTTATATGGCACGAATCAATGTGTTATTTTATCAGGTAGCAATATAGTGCAGTCAGAGGGGAAGAGCCAGGGCCAAAGGTGAGGCACATCAAGCACATAATAATAATTTTAATCTGAGGATAAAACGCATGTACTGAGGCTGAAAGAAGCTTCAGTGCTCTCAGAAGACTAAAAACATGGCTAAGGGTAACAATGACTCAAATGAGATTAAACAATGCTGCTGTATGTCCACCAGGAGAGACTGGACAGCATAGATGTAAAACAAATATGCCAGCAGTTTACCTCAGTTAACGAGAGGAGCAGGCATGTGTGTGGCCCCTTCACACAGTGGACATTGAGTTGTTGTGTGGGACACCAGTAGTCCATGTCTGTTGCTGTAACAGGAGTTTATGTTTAGAATAGAAAATCTCAGCTCACTGATTTGATAGGAGCAATAGTGCCTAAACTGTTGCATAATTTTGCTGAGAGATCTGTTACTTTGTGGTAATCTTAGATGAGTAGTTTTATGGACAAAAACCACCAGGTCATTCAGTGTTCCCTTAGTGCCAAAATATAACAGATGTTGGTGTACTATAACTGAAGTAATGATGTTAAGTCCTTAAAGTCATATTCTTTTATTGTCATTTGAAGGTGTTTTTATTTTTGTATGATACCTGATTTATATGGAATATGGTTGAAGTAAACTAAAGTCTAAAATACTTAGTCAGTCATTTGTTTAATAGTAATTTACATTATATAATTCACATATAAAACTATGAATTGTGATTTTAAATGGTTTAAAAGCACGTAGAATAGCATATGTAGGCAAGTATATTTCTCCTCTTTTTATTAAGAAGCAAAAACAAAAAGGAAAAAAAAAAGAAACGGGGCAGAGTTCGGTGGTTGACTCATCCGTCCCCACCAATGCCAAAACCAAATCTACACCCTTGCTCCACGACCATGTCACAGGCACTAAAAGTCAGCAAGACCCAGCCACACACGCATACAGCCACAAAAAGAGATTTTTTTTTTAAAATGTACATTGTTTATTTGGTGACCCATCTTCTATTTCACACATAAACAGTGTCCATATAAACAGCTCTAAGAATAGTTAAAATAAAACCAAGGACAAGTCTAATCAAACTCCTATTACTCTGAATAATTAGTTTAAATCATATGAGGATAACATTTTCAAGCAAACCTAAAAAAAACCCAAACATAAAAAAAACCCTCTAAATTTGTGAATGGATTACATTGTAAATTAAAGAATTCAACCAATATTTTCTTACTTTTAAAAAGTTAGAAGTAGAGAACATTAAGATTAATATATAAAAGTGATAAAATGTCATAATCTGAAAATGACAAAATAAAAACATGACTTTGAATTAGTGAAACAAATGAAAATTATTTAAAATATGCTCCTTCACATACTTGTAATGGACATATTTCATGCATATTTCATGAAAAACAAGAAAAAAATAATAAAATACACAATGACCTCAAACATCAACAACATGAAAATTCAAATAAAATTTTACTCTAGGATGATTTGCATGCAGTTATACTTTTCACTGTATTATTTATTTGGTTACTGTTCAATATTGAGCCATTATTACAAAAAGACAAAATACCTTTACCTTGAATTTCAACAAACCAAATACACAAAAGAAACTTTGCAAATATGAAATATGATGGCTGTTCTTTTGACCTCTTATCATGACTTTAAAAAAACTACTCGGTTATGAAAATAAATGAATGAAATCAGTTTTATTGGTCTAAATCATAGTGACTTATGATGTAAAAACTAAAAAGTATAATCATTTTCAGCAAGATCCTGTTTTCTTTGTCACTTTAACACATTTCATTAAGACTTTTAATGGCTTCATGTTTATGGATGGTTTTCCACTCACTGGGAATCTCTCCTCTGTTCTGGAATTTTAACTCGTAGTGCTTTTCCAGTTTACTTTGAAATTGACACACAAACCATTTCCAGTATGCCATTTTAGACTCATCAGGGGTGATTTTCCACTTAGCATAGTCTCCCCCAGCTATTTTGTACTCTTTATAGGGAACAGTTTTCTCTGAATCAGGACGAGGGTAAAATCTGCCATCACTTGCAACGTTTGTTGTGCAGAAATTGATGCTGAATTCCACTGTGCCTCTATAGTGCCATCCTTTGATTCCAGAGGGTCGATGAAAAGGGACGCTGTGGTCATCAGGACTGTGATCTTCAATGGTGTTAGTACAAACAGCTGCACAGAAAGGACATGTTACCCAGCAACACTTACACAGCTGGTCAATCAGGATTTCATCAGGCTTCAGCCTGGATTCCTTCAGTTTATCCAGCATGGTCCTCTGATCAGTGATGGTTTCAGGTTTTTTCATGATCTCTTCCTTAAAAAACTCAAAATCATTTATGTCACTGAAGTTTTGAGAAGAAAATGTATCAAGAGTTAATTCATCTTTCAGTAAACTAGAAAATTCCTTCAACCACATGTCTATGTCTCCTCTCTGACTTTGGACTTTTCCTGTTGCTGTAGATAAAGCTTGACTCACAAGTGCGTTTAAGTCTTTAGCGTTATTCTCGAGTACATTCACAGTTTCATCTTTGTGGTCTATGAAGATGTATTTCTCTACTTCTGCTTTTATAAAAGCTTCTGTTAGACTTCTTGGATTTCTGATGTAGGTGATGAAATCATCAAAGTCTTCTTTCTCAGCAAGTGCATTCAGCACATGTTTCTCCAAGTTCAGCCTGTTCTCATTGAATGCTGGGAAATTACACTTCATCCTCCCAGCCAGACCAATAGCAGTCTTGTTACAGACAGCCTCAACAGTGGACGCTTTCAGCTTTTCACGGATCAGTTCTGCGAGCACAACAGCAGATGAGCTTCCTTTACAAAAGCTTCTAAAAACATTGTAATACTGTGTTTTCTTGCCTTCTAAATAAGTGACTATATCGTTGTTCGTTTTGAATGTTTTCTGGGAGTGAAGAATCCAACTCTCTGATTTTGAGAACACATACAGTATGAGATCGACTGTAAACTTCTTCTTCAAAGCAGACTTTACCTCTTTCTGAAAATTTTCCACTTCTTCTTTTACCTGCTTGGCTGCTTCCTGCAAATAAGCTAGCTTGTAGCCTCTTATAGCTACAGGTTTGCTTGTGATTGCATCAAGTGACTCAATTTCAGCTCTTTCAATGAGTGATATGATCTGTTGTTGGTTTTCATATGATAATGGATTTAATGGCCTTTTAAATCCCAGAACCTTTGTATGTTTTACATAATCCGAATAATTTCCCAAACATGATACTTTCTTGTATCTGCCATTTTTTTTGCATTCATTTATGAGAGCCTCTTCAAAACCAAGTTCTTGAAGGATAGTAAACTGATCTTCTTCCAGGTCGATGTCTTCAACAGGTTTAGTACCTGCTGTTAATTCACTGACCCAGTCACTCCAAACAGAGCTGAACTGTTTGTTTAGCTCTTCTTCATCTTTGGCCTTGTCCTTCAGCTGCTGAGCGAGCTCTTTGCTCTTCTGTAGCAGCTTGTCCTCAAACTTTTTCTTCATATCATCCAGCTTTTCACGAGCCTTCTTCTGTTGAATAACTTCATCCAGTTTTCTTTTCACTGTTCTCACCTGTTCATCACGAAACTCTTTGATTCTGGTTTCAAATCGGCCTCTCCACTGAGCTAAAATTTCTTTGTCTTTATCATCCTCAAAGTAAGTTGTCATTTCCTTTTTGATTGTTTCACATGCTTCATGTGATTCTTTTTTAAGATAATTTACTTTGACCATGTCAAGATTTCCATTTTCAATTCTGTTATGAAGTTGGTTTTCAATGGTCAACATGTTGCTCCTCAGGGCCCAGGTCCAGTTTCCGTACTGGGACTCCAGTTTTCTGTATGCTGCAATTTCAAGTGTGTTTTTAAAACTGAAAACAAAATTTTCATTAAGGAGGGCATGCCACAGGTCCTGGATTTTGGCGTTTAACTGTGAGAGAGTGATCCCAGCAGACTGTGAAGCTTTAGAGAGGATGACGTTCTTCACTTCTTGGATGCTCTCACTATAACCTGGATTAGGAGGAGCCATGGGTGGACTGCCCTCCCATAGCTGGGCACAGTATTTCACATCTTTTTGGACATCAAACTTAATGACATCACTGAAGCAGTCAGCACTGAAATCTTCCTCTTCAGCTGCTAGTTTGGCCATCTGGTCCAGTTTTTCTATTAGGCGTCTCTTTCCATCCATGTTGTTTTCTGCTGCTGCAACATCTGTAACATTCTGGTGAACAAACACACAACTGGGAGAAAGTTTAACTTTCTTCATCCTCATGAAAGCCTGAACAACAATCTGCAGAATGTCCAGCATCTCAGATGGATTCTCTCCAAAGATGTTGATCAGTGTCAGGTTTCCCAGGCCAACAACAAATGTTGCCAGTTCGTTGTCATGGCAACTAGTGATGGTACCTTTCTGCTCAAGAGCACGCAGTCCTTCAGTGTCGACCACTAGAAGATAGTCAAACTTCAAGTCAAACTTCAAGTCTTTCTTCATCTCCTCTGATACTTTGAGCAGCTGCATGAAGGCACCTTTGGTGCACCTGCCTGCACTCACTGCAAACTGCAACCCAAACATGGTGTTCAGAATTGTTGATTTTCCACTGCTTTGTATGCCCAAAACTGACAACACAAAAACTCTCTGGTCCCCCAGTTTCTTGATGACTTCCTCTAAAAGACTGGAGATCCATGTTAAAGGCACGTGACCTGAATCACCATCTATCAGCTCCATCGGGTGTCCTGATATCATCAGCTGTGCAGCCAGCTCAGAGTATTTAGACCAGTCAGTGTGTCTGCTCTCTCCTTCTATTTCTCTATGAGCTTCATAGATCTGTCCCATTTCTCTGAAGATGTGCTCCAAACCAAAAGTTGCAGACTGGAGTTTTTCGGATATTTTTTCAAGCTCAATTTGGTTTTTTATTAACAAGTCAGATTTTTTCTGCTTGTCTGCCAACACTTCTGATTCTTCAGATTTGTTTTTTAAAGCCAAGATCTCAGACCACTTTTCATCATAGCTTTTGAGGATACCAGAAATACCATCAGTGGAGAGATCGTCCACTAAGATTTGAATCCATTTCAGACAATATTCTTTATCTTTTGGTGGCAATGTTGAGAGACTTTTAATGAACAACTCCATAAGTTTGCAGGAAGCAGCACATTGTTTCTTACGTATGTTCATCAGTTCTTGTTGCTTTTTACTTTTCTCCTTCTCAATATCCCCTTTGAGATGATACAGTTCTTTGTGTATTTTGCTCCACTGATGCCAAAGATGGCCTTGATAAGGAAGGAATTCATCTTTGATATTTGAGATATCCATGTTATCCTTTGAAAGAAGATCCATTATTTCCTTAGCAGCACATTTCCCTTTTTGAATGGCTGGGTCACTTTCATCTACTCTGATTCCAGAGACCTCAGCAATGGTTTCAAGCTGGAAGAATGGTTTTAAGCTGGAACCATCTAGAGATGACAAAACTTCTGTAATGATCAGTTTCAGTTCTTCAGATATATCTGGCTGGCTTCTCTCTTTGAGACCCATAATATATTTTCCATGTTTTGTCTTAACAACATCACAGTCATCAACGCAGAGACAAATGAGAGGTTTGCGAGATTTAAAAAGAGGTGATATAAGTGATCGACTTTCTTCATGTTTTTTCAGAGATGAAACAAGAAAAATATTAATGGAAGATTTTTCAATCAGTATGTTGCGCTGTTTTTCAGTCAACAGAGCATCACCATGAAGATTACAAAAGGCAATGCAGTCATTGAAGGCATCATTGGGTCTTCCAGCAGGACAATACCAGGCGATCTCTGCCACACCATCCATCAGATAGCGAGACTTGGTGCTTCCTGGACAGTTTCTGTGGAAGAAGATGTTGTGACGGTCGTTGATCAAAGTGTTGATCAGCTGAGATTTAGACACTGACAGAGAGCCCAGGCGGAAAAATGACACCAAGGGTGTCTGAGCTTTGCAGACTGGAACACTCTTCATAGTGACGATGTTTGAGTCGTCTTTGATTTCAGTTACCTTCCAGGTTTTTGTTATTTGTCTGAAAGTCCACAGAGGACACTCGATCTCCATTGTGACTGGGTCAGGAACAAGCAATGGTAAGGCATACTGACACTGAGAGAGCTTTGTAATCATCATCTGTTTAAGGAAGCTGTCTGAGCATTGAAATACTGCCATCTGAACGTCCATTGGATGCAAATTAGTCTGTTTTGTGTGATCTTTGTCTGTACTCTTCCTTAATAAATCATCCAAATCACTGAAATCATTCTCAGGGGTCTCATTGTCTTGAACAGGCTTTGGATGTGTCCCCTCAGGACTGTCTGATCTGACAGGAATATATCTGGCCTTGTAATCTAACATCATCAGCCTGTATAGAAAAATGCGAGCTATATCTTTCTCAGATGTCACATGGTGCTGTTTCAGAGGAGAACATATTTGAAGAAAATCTGCTGGTGACAACTTCTGCTGAAATTTGTCTTGAAGGTGAAGTCTGACAAAAGGGTCTGTTTCTTTATGTGACGTTGTCTTTCTGCCATCTTCAGAACCCTTCCATGACTGCAGTAAATAAGCAAATAAACATGTAGTCTATGTAAAGAAATTCTACTGTTAAACAGTATAATAAAGTAAATTGTCTTTAATACCTTCTTAAATAAACAGTGACTTTTTTTTTTTTTTACCTTTTCCTTTTTTCCACTGATGTCCTTCTCTGAGGTTCCTGCAATTTCAAGTAGAACCAAATAGCCAAGTCAATATGTGCTTAATCCAATACAAATTTCTAGCTTGTGTTTCAAAGCCTTTTTTCTGAACTCCAAAGTGTATTAATTAAGACATTTGCTTAAGACACAAGATCCGTGGTTGGAAACTGGAGGAGACACAAAACCCGGATAGGGTTTTGTCTGGATGGACACCCAGCGTGAAAAATCTGGCTGGTAGAGAGGACCCATATGTAGGATGGATAGACTAGAGAGCACACAAGATGAGGAGATGTATGGCCAGGACATGACAATTAACTAAAGAAAAGTAGGGATTAGAAGCTTGATACAGACATTTTGACACTGGAAAGATTCTAAATCACAGATTTTTTTTCGAAACGCTGCTCAAAATTGCAGTGCCAAACACCCAGGTCACGTGATCATGACTAAATCCAAGGTCTTGGTGTACTTCACCACAGTTCCAACATTGCTTCTAGGCAGCAGGATTAACATTTTGTTAGGAACCAGAGTAAGTTGTAATTACTAAATTACTGTTTTTGATACTACCGCGTTTTACTTATTGCACACACGTGTTAAAGAAAACAATATCCAATTTCTCATGATTATTTTTGCTGTGGATTGTGAAGAACAATATAAACCACCCAAGCACTTAAACACTAGAATCAAAAGTAAAATCAAATATATATATTGGCTTATTCAAATGATTGCTGGCATGTAGATGAGAGAAAGCAAGAAAGACAGAGACTGGTGGATGAGCTCTATTCACTCCTATCAGCAGAAAACGCAGCACACTGCATTGTGAACTCATCAAAATATCCTAATAAAAATTGCTTCTGCTTTCAAGAAGAAAATAAGACAGGCAGGACTTTTCAGCTCTGACTTCATCTGTTCTCCAGGTTTTTTTTTTTTAACTTTCAACAGAAAATGACAGTATTTGGTGCATTAAGTTACCTCATCATCAGTATCCTGTTACTCACATACTGTGCTACCATAAGGAAAATATTTATACTGTAAAAATAAAAACACATCCTTAAACATTAATAACAGGCGTCTTTTTCATAACAATTTTCATGAAAAATGATTTTTTTTCCTTCCCCTTTTATATTCCCACTGTTGCTTCCAGTGTGAATCTCTCATTAAGAACAGGAGGCTGCAGGTTCACTAAAATCCAGACTCAAACAACATTTTACAAAACACAGTCCACAGTAGGTATAGGTTGCAAACAAAGTTAAGAAAAGTTTCATGGTTCAGAAGTTACTCAGCAGTGGATGATGTACCAGTGTACAATGGAATAATTTTCTTTGGAATTGTGCAGGGACTGTCTGTGTCATTGTTTCACAGAGAAACATTATTAAGATGAAGTGATAGCAGGTATCACAGCAGGTTTCAGATTGTTTCAAAACACTTGATACAATTTCAGCAGAAATGTTTCACAAAACGTCAATTTGATCATCACTAAAGAACACTGAGGCTTTAAATGCACACATGAGGTAATTTGGAAACTGGAACACAGCCGGGAATACGGATGAACTAAATCTGACTAAGGAGACAAGGGAAGCAAACCTAAACATAATGCACACAGGACAAGAGACTATCAAAGACATAACGAGACATATTAATAAAACCCATATAGCCATGTCCGCACAGACATATGTTTGTTGGTTTCTCTTACTCCATTTCAGTCATCACTCTTAGGCTGCACATTATTAGTGTTCTCATTAACTGGATAATGGTGAAAACCAGAAAACATATTAACTAAAAATTTGGTAATCAGATTAAAAATACTAGCATTCATTAAAGTGTTCCTGGCAATCAAATTGCTTTACACATTTTTCTTCTTTACACTTTTATACAGTGCTTATTTCTATGCCTTTTATCAACAATTAATCTGAAATGCAGGTCTCCATAGAAACAGTTTGCTGTTAAGTATCAATGCAAACCACTGCACCACCAGGCTGCACTTTTCCAGAACTGTTGAAGGGCAGGGGCAACAAAACACTGGAAAAGCAAGTGGTCTTAAAAAGAAACAGCTGGTGGCAAAATTGAAGACAGCCAGAAGATCATCAATCTACAAAAACCTGGGTCTATGAATTATGGAACAATATAAGAAATATATTTCTTAGAATAATTCTGCTGTAGGATTAGGGTTATTATGGAACGCCAGGACTGCCACAATGAATTAATTAAATACACCATTAAATAATTAATTAAATGTGGCAATAATTAATTAAAATTGGAAATAATTAATTAAAATGGGAAATAATTAATGAAATAACTTTTTTACACATTTAATTAATTAATTAATGGTGTATTTAATTAATTCATTATGGCAGTTCTGGCGTTCCATAGATTATGCTCAAACACATTTATACCAAAGGAAGTGAAACTGAATTTTACATTGATTTTCTTATTGTAAAATGAACAGTCTCCCACAGGCAAAGACATGAATGTTAG